GTCCATAGGACTAAAGAGCAATCCCTATCCAAGAAGATATCTAACCCATTGCAACCAAATCCAAATTGCATTTGATTTAGTCCAGACTACTTGCAACTTGAGTTATAAGGGATATGTAGCTTAATGGTTACTTGTAACAACCCTTTTAAGAACCCCTGCATGGTGTTTCCAATATGTCATAACCACTATGCTCAGGTTTGGCAGCTGATCCATTCCATTTAGAGAGTGTCTTTAACTCGACCCCTTGTGGCCTACTCAAAATTTGCCTACTCCAAAATGTGGCTTGGTCCTGATTACTTGCAAATTGATCCTAAATGCACAAGGAACATGTTAGACACTTGAAGCAATCTTTTATGAACAACCACAAGGTGCTTAAATAAGCGACAACACCGAGTTTGGTAATAGATCATCTTCAGACAGCGATTGCCTTGGACCTATTCCATGGGGCCCACTACGAATCACATGAGAACAAGTCCTGACCACTTGCAACTTGACTTTTAATGCATGAGGAACACTTTGGGAGCCAGTAGTGAACTTGTTACATCCCTTCACAAGTTGTTCTCAATAAGTGTCAAGCCATAGGTCTGACAATGGACCCTGCTCAGGAAGAAGGGGTTAAGCAATTAGTCTTACCTTATAGTGGCATGCTTTCTCCGCGTAAGTATTTTCTCCTCTGATTCCAAAAGCGTTAATTGTCTTTTAAAAATATATACTAAACATCCCCAATTTCCAAAACTCTCCTTTTTCCATATATTCAAAAATGTTTTATTAAAAAAATGGGTGAAACTTTTGAAAGTGATGATAATCTCATTGGTTTAAACTATCAGTCAAACCTGATTTTGGAGCATAAGTAGACCGACCATTAGTCATAAGTCTACATAAAGGTAATGGACCCAAGACTACCTATATGCAATGGCTTTTTGTTTGTCCTCTCTGATGAGTCACTTCCTGTATCAATTTCAAATATCGATTTGTTTCTCTCCACAGCATACATTATCTCTTGCATTTTAGGAATCACTGTATGTTTGGCCACCTAGTTCAGCAATGAGGGGATAGGGGTTTCTCGATGACGACGATTGCAAATTCCCTCAGTCAAGATCCTTTCCAATGTCCTGTGGTGAGGATGCCGTGCATACTGACTCCCTCATCTGTGATCCTTTTTGCATTTGATTGGTGTCGTGTTTCATACTATGAGGATCTCTAAAATATAAATACTGCATTGATTCTTCAACCGACAGGTACCCACTTCTTTGATATTCAATCTTAAACCTGTGTGCCAAATGAACATCAATGAGAAGCAATTGCAGAAACCTGAAATCTGGCCTAGTATTCCTAATTGAATTTGGTCTGTCTCTTCATCTCATATCATACTGTTCATTCAACATCTCCAATAAATTGAACCATATTTGACTCACTAGACTTACCCTAGAATTAAACATAAGAAAACTAAGCTATATGTTTACATTAGATATTGTAAAGAATGGAAAGATATTTCCAACAGTCCAACACTCACTTCAACCGGACATACTGTTGACAAATTATGGCTTATGCCAATAACAGAAGTAGACTGTATGGGGGCTACAATAAATCCTTAGCCAACGATTGATCACTTCCCCTCATAATTTGTCAATGCTCTTATTGATATTGATTTCTCTTTCCATCTCTAATGACTTTTGATTTTCTCATCTCAATGACGTTCAAGTCTCTTTATTAGTGAAGAAAAACTCAGGCCAGCCAACTTAGACTTGCCCGAGTAACTCTAACTCGTCTCCCTGGTGAGTCTAAGTATCCTTGAATTGGGTGGACTGACTCGGGGATCCTAAAAAGATCCAAAATATTATAAAATAAGATATAAAAGATTTATTGGTAATATATTTTTTATGTTTTATATCATTTTGGTAAAGATTGGAAAGTGTTTTGGTCATCGATACTTATTTTTATATTTTCTTTTCATTTAAACTAGACTCCAACCCTCCAAAAATAAAATGATTTTTTTGAAATCCATTTTTTCACTACATTTTTAACTTCATTTAGATGCGTTCTGTTTAATTTTACTTTAAACATATTTGGGATTTTTTATTTTTGAACACTTTTTGGCTTAGCCAGACTAGGCCCGACTAGAGTAACTGGGGCCAAGCCCCGTGGTCAAGTCATAGTTTTTTTTCATTGCTTTCTACCAACTTGGGCATACACAAATACAATAACCAAAAAGAATTGTACTGGGATATAAAAGATGGTCAGCAGGGCATTGGTGTATACCAATAATCTCCATGTTTTCTTATTTTCAAAAACATATTTGTCAACTCTAAATCTTTGTGCAATCTGCTGGAGCAAAGACAAGCCTCTCGTTCACAAGGTCATACTCCACCCCCATATTTCGCTGCATTAAGTTACCAAAGATGGAGAGAGAATCAGTTGGGATCAGCATGAAGCATGTGGTCAGTGGATCCGTCTTTGCAAACAAATTTTTGGGATCTACTCTCCAATCAGCCTCACCCTTGAAGTGGAATGTAATATCTGGGAATCCTGTAACATCTCCTGATCTATCTTCACTCCAATAGCAAAGATTAAATTGCTTCAGGGGGTCTGGAGTCCATAACTTTTTTGTAGAGTCCACCAAAATTTTGACCAGTGGATCATATGCAATCCGGTCCAAGAAAGTGAGAGCCGAACCAGAGTCGATGAACAACTTCTTTTTCTCTTGACTTGGATCGAAGATGCCTGGTGGTAAGCCTATACGCTGGGAGCCGACACTAATGTCCTCGAGGTTCAAGAAGTATAATGTATCCAAGAATGGTAGTTGATAAATTGGCGTCAACTTGATACCGGGTATTTTGATGTCAGCATAATCACCCATAAGAATGACGCCGGTGCCATTATTCGGAAGGCAATATGCGAATTTCTTCGGTAATCTGGAACTCAGTTGAGAAATAAGGGAGAGAGGCCCTCCCCCAAAACCCACCACCCCAGAGCTTGTAAATCCAGGATTAGTGTCAAGAATGCTACATCCAAATCCTATTTTGTCAATTGGGAGTACAACTTGGCCATTAGTAATTCTGGTATCAATATTTCTATCAATGCTTGGTAAAGAGTTATTATGAGTACTATCATCAAAGGTAAAATTATTTTTAATGCTTTGATCCCATTCAAAGGTGAAGGTTTCATATGCCAGTATGCCATTTGAAAATGTACCATCACGATACCTAACCCCATAAAAGCAATCAGTAGTGCACGATGAATTCGTATCCTTACACAGAGTCTCATTGCAGCCAATGGTTTGATAGCTCGAAGATGCGGCGGGGTCATAAATGGGGAACCTAGCGCTGGAGACCGATTCACCATGTTTACACACTGTCCACATCATGTCACTCCCAGAATCAATTATGAAGAAGAAATCTTTTTGCGGGGTCCCTATCCCGACCTTCATGATGTACTCCAATTCCAATGTTGCCGGTGATCTTGTTCCCCCTGCCGGATAATATCCGTCGAGGGCTGACCGGAAGTATTGGTGGCGAGCGATGGAGCGGCGGGCTGCTTGCCGCATTCGATCATGATCTGTGACATTAGGGGTATAAAAAGGAGATTGTAAGGAGTCGCGGTGGATGAGGTTTTGCCTGAGTCCAGTAATTTTTGTAGCAGATGATGACATTCTGAATAATGAATTGGACGTGACAGTGACGAGTAGCATGAGAACAAAGACCCATCGAGTAGACTCCAAATCCATGATCACCTAAACCAGTAAACTGTGTTACTTTTCATAAGGTAGAAGAGAATGGCAAACTGCAATTTTCATCCCCAAGGTTGTTCTTAATATAGATTGCCTAGGTCGCTCCTTACTACTGAGAGTTTTAGAAATGCCAACTATAAAAGGCAGTAATGCTTTTAAATATTTTCTATGTTTGGATTGTCGACTATGAAAGGCAGTAATGCTTTTAAATATTTTCTATGTTTCGATTGTTAGATTTAGATATTTTCTATGTTTGGATTGCCAACTATGAAAGGCAGTAATTCTTTTAGATATTTTCTATGTTTGGATTGTTAGATTTAGTAAAGAAGAAGTCGATCAATTCTACTAACAAATTATGAAACCTTAAAATGTTTTATATACAAATACAAATTTAATGTAAATTACATTATCCTTACACAAATATACAATGACAATAAAAGATAACTAAAAATTATACATTTTATTTTCGTATACATATTATCCTTACACAAATATACAATGACAATAAAAGATAACTAAAAATTATACATTTTATTTTTGCATACATATTATTACCCTTCTTCAAGTTGATGCGAACATGAGTAAAGCATTAGCTCGTTCACTAGAAAATCATGGTGGCTCCGAGTAACAGATTTAGTGAAAATTTCAATTGTTTGCTCAATAGAAGAAACATAAAGAAAATATAATATACCATCAAGATAACGATCACGAATATAATGACAATCTATGTTAATATGCATTGTTCGCTCATGAAAAACTGGATTAGACGCAATCTTAATTGCACAATATGGGATTTGAAATAGAGATACTAAACTCATTGAGAAGAGCACGAACCCAAACTTATTGAGAGAGCACGAATGGAAGTACCTCGAATATAGTGTAAAATTCAATGAACTGCTGATAGATGTGGTCGTCGAGGATCTGAAACAAATTGACTCACAACATGCAGTGATACCATGTTAGATTTAGAGAATATGAAGAGCTCAGGAAGAGTCCAGAGAGAAACAATCCCAATCAATTCTCATTAACAAGAAATGGAACATACAAATACAAATTTAGTGCATACCACATTATCCGTATAAAAATATACAATGACAAAAAAAGACAACTGAAAATTATATATTTTATTTTTGTATACACAACATTGTGGATGCTTTTAAAATAGTGATGTGATATCCTTTCCTATTTTTCCAGCTATGTTCTTTAGGGATGAGACGGCTTGCTATCCCTGGGTAAATCCCTAACAATCAATATCTCAAATAATAAATAAATTATTTTTTGCTTTTCATTAAGTTGTACATATTCTAAAATTTCATGTAAATGAAACACGTATGTAGAAATTGCATTTATTTCAGTGAGCAAACTAAATTGACAGTGAAGAGCATATTATATCATGTGAATGCCCATGGATGGAGAATAATATGTGAATTGATAGCATGAATATTGTAGAAGATAAACAAATTCATAAACTCAGAAGCATTTAAAACACTAGTAATTTCGAAAATATTATAAAGGCCTTTGAGATTTATTTATGCTAGAATTTTCCTATTTGGGGGCCATACAATTGCAGGTGACAAAGTTGTTGGATCCGAAATCTCCTACAAACATTTTGACGAATGGTTCTAAACAGGCACACATTCCTTTTATGTTTTTTTTGGTAAACGTAGGATATTGTCACCTCAACAGACAGAGATCAGCCCCCTAGTACAAGACCATGTTGCGGTAGCCCTCACCATGTTTTGAGTTAACCATGGTCCAAAATAATAGACATTATTCAAGTACAAACACCGAAATCACGACAGAGCCTACCAGTGTAAATACAAAGCCTGTCAGTGTAAGGGCTCGTTTGGTTTATGCATAACAGTTTGCAAATGTAAAACAATTTTCAAATCTAAACAGTTCCTGTGCAATAGTTTTTCAATCATGTTTGTTTTTCATGTTTCGTTCAACAATATTAAAATTCCTTTGTACCCAGTTATTTAATATTTAGTAACTCATTGGTAAACTATCCCAATCTATCTTTCTCTCTAAATACCCATTTTCTCTTTCTAAAAACCCAATATTTCTGTATCTCTTTAGAAACTCAATCTCTCTTTCTCTCTCTAAAACCTAATGGCTCTTTCTATCTAGAAACACAATCTCTCTTTCTCTCTCTAAAACCTAATCACTCTTTTTATCTAGAAACTCAATCTCTATTTCTCACTCTAAAACCCTATTTTCCCCCTAGAAACCTACTCTCTCTTTCTCTCGCTAAAAACCAATTTTCCCACTCAAAAAACCCAATCTCTCTTTCTCTCTCTAAAAACCCATTCTCTCTCTATATGTAGAAACTAAATCTCTCTTTCTCTCTCAAAAAGCCCAATCTCTTTTTTCTCTCTAAAAACTCATTCGCTTTCTAAAAACCCATTTTTCTCTATAGAAACCCAATCTCTCATTCCCTCTCTAAAACCTATTTTCTCTCTCTAAAAACTTAATCTCTCTTTTTGAAAATCCAATCTCTCTATCTAGAAACTCAGTTTTTTTTTCTCTCTAAAAACTCATTCTTTCTAAAAATCCAATATCTCTTTCTCTCTCTAAAACCCTTTTTCTTTCTCTAAAAATCCAATCTCTCTTTCTTTCTCTAAAAGACCCAAACTCTATTTCTCTTTCTAAAACCCGATCTCTCTTTCTCTCTAAAATCCCATTTTCTCTCTCTAGAAGCCCGATCTCTTTTCCTCTATTTAAACACCAATTTTTTCTCTCTAGAAACCCAATCGTTCTCTCTCTAAAAACCCATTTTCTTTTTAGAAACCCAATATCTCTTTCTCTCTAAACCTCATTCCCTCTCTAGAAACCCAATCTCTCTTTCTCTTTATAAAACTCAATCTCTCTCTCTAAAAATCCGATCTCTCTCTAAAAACTCAATCTCTCTTTCTCTCTAAAACCCATTATCGCATTAGAAACCAATCTTTCTCCCTCTAAAAACCTGCCTCTCTCTAACCCAATCTCTCTTTTTCTCTCTTAAAATCGATTTTCTCTCTAGAAATCCAATATCTCTTTCTATTTAAAAACTCACTCTCTCTAAAAACCAGCTCCAGAATAGAGAGAGATGGTCGATGGAAGAGAGAAATTTTTTTTTTTTTGGTTTCAGCCTTTTGCTGTAAATGGGAATAAAATATTTTTTTGGAAAATTATCGCTAATATACTTTAATTTTAAGAAAATCGCAAAAAAGAAAACCCAACTTCTCAAAACCTCCCCCGCACCCTTTTTCCCAATTTTTGAGATTTTTTAGACGAAAATACCATTTGCGGTAGTCTTTCTACCGTAACACATTTTGAGTGTATTACGGTAGAAAGATTACCGTAATAGTGTGAGGATACATTACGGTACTTTGAGTACCGTAATGAACATTACGGTAATTTAAATACCTTATATAGCATTACGATACTTTAATTACCGTAATACATAAATATATTATTCACGGTATTTTTAGTACCGTAATGTTTTGAAAAGCTTCAAACCGAAGCTAATATTAGTGTTGCCCCCATCCTTCCGCACTCTGCGAAATCAAAGCCAATTAACACATTTTGTTTGCAAAATCCCAAAAATCTCTCTAATATTTTATTTTCGAATAAATACATAGCAAAATAGGAATAAATTCGAGTTTTTTTTTTTTCTTAATGTATATACCGTATACATATTACCCACCACCATGTGAGAAATTTTGCCAGAGAAAAAAATGGTTCTACAAATTCCTAAAGAAAAAAAGAGACTCTGGTCTCCTACGTAATTTTTTGTTGGGTCAACATGACCATAGTTATCCAAGCCAGTGGTTGTCTCCTACATGATTCTTTCCTAAAGAGAGAAAGTGACCTCTCATAATATGCTTTTGTAGGCCAACAAGGCCATAATTATCCAAGCCAATTGGGTTTATCTCAGAAACAGGTTTACCATCTCGCACAGGCAAGTCATGTATGAAATCATAACCATAGGCGACTTCTTATTTTTTCATGTACTTCAAAACTCAATTACATAAACCAAAATTATAGAGAAAGTGAATTATGCTAGCAGGTTAAATCTGACCATACTGAATGATGAAAATACTAAAAATCATAATGTTAATATGAACATCATCAATGACAATATGATAATTTGTTATAAAGGTGTATCTACTTTCACATCATTCCATGGTTGTAATATGTTAGAAAAAGAACATATTCAGAGTAAACACTATCTGATTGGCTTTCGATCTGACATTTACGAGCATGTCTTGGCACTTATGCAATTCTTTATCTGTTATGTAGATAGCAAAAAGATAAGGAATGCACATTAGAAACCACATGTTGTATGCATCTCACAATATTAGAATTTAATGGGCATAGTATGGAAAACATCATTAAAAGTGTACAAAAAGAAAAGAACGGGTAACTAGATAGGTCTTTGTAGAACAAAGTCTCTTTCTCTCTCTAGGAATTTATAGAACTATTTTTTTCTCTGTAAAATACCCACATGGTGATGGGTAATTTGTATACAGTATATACATTAAGAAAAAAGAAAAATGAATTTGTTCTAATTTTGCTCTGTATTTATTCGAAAATGAAATATTAAAGACAAATTTTTGGGATTTTGCAAAAAAAATGTATCCCTTGGTTTTTTATTTCGCAGAGTGCGGGAGGAGAGGGGTAGCACTAATATTAGCTTAGGTTTGAAGCTTTTCAAAGCATTACGGTATTAAGAATGTCGTGAAGAATATGTTTATGTATTATGGTAATTAAAGTACCGTAATGTTCTTTACGATAATTAAATTACCATAATGTTCATTACGATACTCAAAGTACCGTAATGTATCTTCACACTATTACGGTAGTCTTTCTACCGTAATATATTCAAAATGTATTACGGAAGAAAGAATACCGTAAATGGTATTTTCGTTCAAAAAATCTCAAAAATTGAAAAAAACAGTTTGGGCGAGGTTTTGGGAAGTTGGGTTTTTTTACAATTATCTTAAAATTAAAAT